AAAATTGGTGAACCTAAAAGCCGAAGTACTCCATTAAATAAGGGACAAACGGGTATTAAATTTAAGGGACTCGAAGAAATACCGGAAGAAAAGGAAAGTGTAAATACCGAGACTACACAATCCCCGGTCGAATTGATTTTTTCGAAGGCTCCCATAGATGATGACTTCTTTTTCATCCTGCCTCACGCAAAGGGACCCATAAGTCAGTATAAAAGATCTAGTGATTATAATAATCCTAGTTCCTCAAATACAGAAGATAGCGAAACCCTTTTGGGTCCTGGGTATTTCACTTTGCAAAATAATGTGAGAAACTCTCAACAATGCTTGACTTACCAGAGAGACAACATAGTACATTTGATTTCACGGGATTGTGATAATACTACGGCAATAGCCAGATTATTAAGCGAGATAGGCGCTATTGACCTACGTAATATGAAAAATAAAAAACCTAAGATTGGACAAATTTTAATGACAAATTATAAAAAATATATATTCCGTAGTGGTAAAGGACAAATATTATAACTCAATGAGCGTAGAAACTATAAAGGTCGGATTGGCTAATTTAAAGAAGCTCTTAATTCGTGATAAGGTTAATAGCTTCCGCATATCTAGGAAAGGTGATTACGCAGATGATTTGGGACCGGGTTTGTTAATGGAACTATTGATCGGAGCCTTTGAAGGTAGTCCGATAACAGTTACCGTATGTTACGGGAAAACGACTTTGCCTCCCAAAGAAGAGAGAACAAATATCATTAAAACGTTACATGATAGTTTAATAGGAGGTCATAAGGGAGTAAACCAAACTTATCAGAAAATAAGGGCCCGATATTACTGGCAGGGCATGAGAAATGATGTACTGGACTATGTTAGGAAATGTCCGAAATGTCTAGAAAAGAAAATAGACAGACATAAAATCCATGAACCGATGATTGTCACCGATACTCCTATAGAAGCTTTTGACAAGGTCTCAATAGACACGGTAGGCAAGCTGAGGACGACACCTCGTGGTAATTGTCATTTATTAACAATGCAATGCCACCTAACGAAATACGTAATCATTGTACCCATAAAGGATTTAAAGGCGACTACTATAGCCGACGCACTCGCTAGACATCTGATATGTCAATTCGGAGCCCCTAGGGCTATTCTTTCAGATCGAGGGACGAGCTTCTTGTCGGATATAGTTGAATCTTTGTTACACCTCTTTAAGGTAAATCACCTTACTACGTCCGCATATAGGCCTCAAACGAACGGGTCATTGGAACGTAGCCATGCCCCTCTTATGGACTTTATGAGGACTTATTCAGAAAACTTCGATGATTGGGACAGGTTGGTTCCATTCGCAGTCTTTACTTATAACACCAGCGTTCATGCTGCAACGGGCTATACGCCTCATGAACTTGTATACGGACGAATAGCCCGATTCCCAATGATGATACCGCGGGAAGAAAAACTGCGTACTTATAATCAGTACTTAATAGACCTCGTTAATAGATTATCGGAACTAAAATTAGCTGCCGGTACGAACCAAATAACTGCGAAAGTACGATCTAAAAAACGATACGACAGTAAAATAAGCATGTTTAAGGGTAAGAAAGGCGATTATGCCTGGGTCTTAAACGAGCCCCGCGTAGGCAAGGCAGATAGTTACTATAAGAACCCTCTTAAAATTATTGAAATACTAGGACACAAACATGTTATTTTGGAATTGCCAAATGGTAAAAGAATTAGAAAGCATGTAGACAAGCTTAAATTAAAGCTATAGTATATATATTTTGTTTTAATTTTATTATGTATTTATTAATCACTATTAGTTGCACTATTATACATGTTGAAACTCCTTTCTTCTCTTCTTTTTGCTCCTATTTATTTTTTTTTTACTTTTCCCCTTCTATGACGAATCTGTATTTTTGTTTTTGTTCTTTACATGTGATTACATCTATTTTCAGGACTATCCTACTATATTTTTTTCTCCTCTTTTGCACTCCCAGAGTTGTGATCAGAGAAAACGAATTTGGACATCGGGTATTCCTCCGAATCCCGATGTACTGCTCGCGGGAACAAGTATTCAAAGACTTGGCACTCTGTGGGACTCTGGACTATATGTATTTCACGCCTATCACGACATATGGTTCGCACTTCCATTTGACCTGCAGTGTGCGATTTGTGTCCAAAGGTTCTGCTGCTGAGGCTGTCCGACTATACCATAGGGTATATGGGGCCAAATTGAACGAACTGGAGAGGATTGTACCCCCGTCTCTACACAACAAGAATCAGTACGTCTTTCATGCACAATGCAAAGGCATTGTCATGAAGAGGGATTTCGAAGCCCATAAAAACCTATGCAACAAGCAAATAGGTAAGGATTGGAAGAAACACTGGCTATGTGACAAGTCCTTCGAAAAACGAAGCTTCCACCTCCATTTACGTCAATGTCAATATGAGGACTGGGTGGAACCAGAGCAGTCCGAAGAATCTGTGGGACAAAACTTGGTATTCACCACCATCCTGGAAAACATTTTGGACGAGTTGGCAGCGATGCCCATAAACGCTACCAACCTTTAACTTTATTAATCCTTAGAAATTTTTTTTTCTCTTCTTTTCTCCTACCTTTATAAAAAAAAAAAAAAAAAAAAAAAAATAATAATAAATAATAATATAACATGAATAGTAACCATTTTAATAGTACATATATTACCCGTTTTCGTCATCCTTAATCATTCATGTTTATTCATTCTCATTGGACATATAATTCCCGAGGACGGTAATCATTCTAAGGGGGGGAGGATGTTAAGTGACAACTTTTAAAATTCACTTAATCCTGATATATGTAACGTAAAACTTATATGTATTAGTATTATGTATAATTGCGCCGCGCGTATTAATTGTACACGTTAAGCACGCGTGGGCGGTTCGGCGGCCGCGTAGTAATGCGGTGACGGCGTAGTAACACTCTCGCGCGGGATGACTGTATCGCCCACGCCTGACAAAGGCAGTCTAGCGCCAGAGCTAATCACGAGCAGTCGTAATTCCGTTCAGATTTACATACAGTTTTATTCAGTTGCTTTCATATAGTTTTGATCTCAGTTTTTTTTGTCAATCAGTTTTTATTTATTGCTAAATTCCTCAAATCAGTATATTCATATCCTTGCTATCAGCTATTAACGCATTATTATAAAATACACACACACATATATATATATATATATATATATATATATATATATATATATATATATATATATATATATATATATATATATATACACACGTATACGGCGTACGTTCAGATCGATTACAGCATAATTATTTGTACAAGGATAACAGTTATTATAAGGACCAGCAAAAATAAAAGGATTATATTTCTTGGACGAATATTTTGACAATATACACAATTATATAACTATATAATTTCGAGGACAAGCCTACTAATAATAATAATAAATAAACTTCTAACAAGTAAGTAACTCAAGGTTCATTAGTGTAAACTTATTTTCTTCTTACCTATTTTTCTATAATAATAATAATATTTGGATTAATTACCATTTGGCAAATTTCCGCATATTCATTTTGTGTATAACTATATATATATATATATATATATATATATATATATATATATATATATATATGTAGACGTGTATGCGTTCGTTAAATATTAATTATTTTGGCTTTGGTATTTTGCTTTCGCGACTCTTTCCATTTATTATCATAAATACCGGTCGCGCCAGTGTAACGCGATCTTGTCAATTACATAGCATTATAGCCTACGCTGACTAAGTATTTAAAAATTAAGCACGTCCCCGGATAACATGATATGCATGTGTACGGGATAAATCGTACGTCTACGATATTTCGACAAGCTCGGTTCCAAGCTGCTAAAATTCCCGAGTAAGCTTTAATTCAAACTTTATAAAGAACCCCTATATACATATATATTCCAGTTATTTGATTTTTTTCCATAAATATACTTATACGTTAAAATATATTTAATAATTAACTAGCGAGCGTTAAGTGAGCGGGGCCTCATGTATGCAGCAATACACCACATCGAGTTATAGTGTCGCTCTTTTGCTAGAAAGACACTAACGACGTGTGTGTCTATTAGTACACACATAATAATTATCAATAAACAAAACTCAAGGTAAGAATATACTTTAACTATTATCTACCTTATGCATGCAAATAGCTATTATTCTACCCTCGTTTTAGTTATCGTATACTTTCCGGACTCGCACTTAGTCCTAAAACACTACCTATCCGCTTTGAACCTCGCGCCTAAACGTCATCTGACGTGGACGTAACAGCAGGAAGACTCTGAAGTGCTATCCAGTAGTGATGTTCGATTATTCGAAAAAGTATTCGATTCCTAATAATCGAATTACCAAAATAATCGATTCTTGATAATCAATTTTATTTGAAAATAATCGATTAATCAAATGAATAATCGATGGTTGTTTTAATTAAAAAAAAAGAATAAAGTGCTTATAAATATATGGAAACAATATTATAATAAGAAAAATAAGTAGGAAATAAGAACTACTGATAAATTAAACAATGCAAATTACGTTCTGATGGTATTTATTAAAAGGTCATTGCTTATTTCAATCATTTACAATTTAACAGGCAAATATTCAACATCGACCAATGATTTAAATAAACTTTGAATTGCTACTACAACAATAAAATTTTTAAACTTAAATGTAGTAAATATGTAAATAAAATTTTTTTATGCACCTTGATTTTGTCTGTCTTCGACGAATGGGTTGAAAACATCATGATCATTGTTATCCATTCTTGATTCTACCTATTGCACCTCAGCTCACGTCTCACTCTCACCTCACATTCAACCGTAACAAATTTCTTTTCTATTCGAACGTATGTAAATAGAGAGAATAATATCCACGCATGCGCAAAACACAAATTGCACAAAGTGCAGTCGATTCGATTATTGGCCAAAAAATAATCGAAGCTGTAATAATCAAGTTCCAAAATAATCGAGAAAAAAAATCGAATATTTTGTTAAATAATCGTATGCTTATCGATTAATCGAATATAATCGAACATCACTAATCCAGACTACGAAATGTTGGCTCGGTCGACCGGTGTATCTTCATGATGCTAACCTAATCCCCCGAAAGATAAATTTTGGCTTTGATGTTTTCAGTTTTTGTTGTAAAATTATTATTTTTATTATGAAATGCCAAAACGAATAAGTGATTATATTATATTTTTAATCAAGATCGTGCTTTTTGTAACAGTAAACAATTATAAGTAACGAAATATGTCTGATGTTCGAGACATTTTAGATATTGAAGTGCCAGTTGTTAATGAAGTAACTAAAGAATCTATTATTAGTGGTGATAAAAAAATTAAAAGAAAATATGATTACAAAGTACCGAAACGTCCTGAGGGAATGCATCGAGAAGTATTTGCTTTGCTTTGCAAAGATAATAATGACGTTCCACCTCTTTTCCCAACAGATACCGGGAAAGGTTATAAACAATTAAAAGCTAAGCTAGGTTTAAAAAAAGTTCGACCCTGGAAGTGGACTCCATTTACAAATCCAGCTCGTACTGATCAAGCAATCTTCCACCATTGGAGACGTATATCTGATTCTGGGAATGAATATGCTTTTGCTAGATTTAATAAAAAAGTTCCAATCCCAGTGTATACAAATACTGAGTATGTACAACATCTTGTTACAAATGGATGGACAAGAGCTGAAACAGATCATTTATTTGATTTGTGTCGTCGATTTGATTTAAGATTTGTTGTTGTACATGACAGATGGGATCACAAGAAATATTCGTCAAAAACAGTTGAAGACTTGAAAAATAGGTAAGATTTATGTTATATACATTTATTTATAAGATAATAGATTCTTAAATGTAATTATTAGCTATGTTTTCTGAATTAAAGGTACTATCAAGTTTGTGCTGCATTAAACAAAGCTAAGAATCAATATGAAAAAGTATATACTTTTGATTTTGAGCATGAGCGCAGAAGAAAAGAGCAACTTAAAAAATTATTTGATCGAACTTGTGAACAAATTGAAGAAGAACAAGTTCTCATAGCAGAATTAAGAAAAATAGAGCAACGTAAAAAAGAACGAGATCGCAAAACACAAGATTTACAAAAATTAATTACTGCAGCTGATAATCAAGCTGACCTTCGAAAAAATGATAGAAAGGCAACAAAAAAAAGTGGTAGTTCTACTAAACACAAACTAAATAAGTCAGATTCATCCAATGTAAGTATTATTACTTTGTAATTTTTCAAAATATTTTTTACTTGCAATTACAAAAACTTAATTTATTGCTTGAATTTTTCTAAAGATTGTGAAACTTCAAGCATGTGAGCCAACAGGAATAAAATTTCCAGATATAAAAAGCAGTGGTGTATCTCTTCGTTCTCAGCGAATTAAATTACCTAGTAGTTTAGGACAGAAGAAATTGAAAGGCATTGAACAGACATTAATTGAAATGAAACTAGGTAAAATGATGTATACGCTAAATCACAATTTTCAAAAGTTTTTTTTAATAATATTTTTAATTTTTATAGATTTAAATCCTCCTCCAACTGAAAACATAAGCCAACAATTTAACGAACTCCGTAGTGACATTGTTTTACATTACGAACTGAAAGGAGCATTAAATAGTTGCGATTATGAATTGCAATCTTTGAGGCATCAATATGAAGCACTTGCTCCAGGAAAGGTAATCAAATTAATTTACTTAATATTTTTTCCATAGCATTTATAGTTTTATTAATAATTATGAAATTGTATGTAGTTACTTTTTGAATATACATATATACTAATAATGAATTCTGTCCATATTTTTTAACTTTAACTGCATAGTAGAAAATGTTAAATTTTTATAGACAATACGGCATGTTGAAGATATATTTTTATAAAATATATATATAAGGTCATTTAAATTTTACTTATATTTTTTATTTGACTGTCAACTGTTAGAATTGGCCTTTTAATATGTCGGTGATCTTTTATATTGTTATTTAAAAATCCTTGAATCTTAGGAAAATGAAAAATTCAATAAAAGTACTTTCATTTTTCTCAGACTGTAACTTAACGGCTATCTAGACGATATTCAAGTTTCGTTAGTGAGATTTTTGTTGATAATAATTTTTTTTATACTTTCCTCTAGCTTTTTAAAACAGATTTTTGATAAAAATTATTATATTTTCTATTTTTAAAAGTTATTTTAGATTCGTTTCACACAACAATAAATTGATTCGTTTTCAATGATAAAATATTTTATTTTATATAATAAAATATTTAATAATAACAAAATATTTTATTTTATTTAATAAAATATTTAACACATCTAATAAAAAAATATTTTATTTTATTATTGAATTACAATAATTTATATAAACGCTGCATTAAATTGCATTCATTTGGTTACTGTTGGCTACTACAGGTATATCTTTCTCGGATACATATATTTCAAAATATCCATTTTACACATTGAAAAATTATGTCTTAGCTGAACAATGGAAGTTAATAGATCATTGAGTTGTGTTATGACAAGTCAGAAAAAAATTTTGATTAATAAATTTATCAAATTATTTAGTACAATTATTCATCACTTTTTAACCCATTAAAGCCCATGCCAAAACAACATGAGATAGCGCTAAACTAACTATGCCATTCATAGCATAAGTGAAAAAAAAGTACTCGTGTTTTTTCTTTTGCCATTTGCAATTGTTTATAAAAAATTATTTAAACAAATTACCAAAAAAATTAATATTTGTAAAAACTTATTGCGGCAATCGATTCTACGGGAAAAAATATGACAAAAACGTATATAACGTTTTCTGGTCAAACTTAAATTTGACGCTAGGAAATGACTACAAAGTCCATTCATCCGAAAGTTTGATACCGTTGATTATGAATATAATCAAATATAACCTAATGGTTGGGTGGATGATTTGAAAAAATTTTTATTTTATTATAAAGGTGTGAAAACCGTGTTAAAGATCACGTTTGAGTGGCGGGCTAACGGTTGTATCAAAATTTATAGATATCATTTACTTTCACTTCGAAGCATCTATCTAACTTACGAAGTGCATTCTATAATATTTCATAATTTTCACAATTTTTTATTCTTCAAAAATGTCCAGGCGAAAAATATCAAGGCGCAGAATTGCTGATATAACAGATTTAATTGAGATTGATGATGTCGAGTTCGATTCTCTATCTAATTCTCGATCTGTCAACATAGCATTTATTCCCGGAGACCACGAAAGCTTCGATGGAGATTCTGATGGCGATCTGGATGAAGATATATCATCTCAACTTATTCCTACTGGTTCTTATGAACATGTCAAAAGCATGTATACCAGTACTCAAAAATTACTAGAACCTAATCATGTTTTCGATTGGCAAGAAAAAACTCTGACTCATGACACCACTGTAAATGATTACTGTCATTTCAACATTGAACCGATTTCTTCTTTGTTCTATAAAAATTCTTTAGATTTGTTTAAACTATATTTTTCTAATTCCATGAAAAATTATATCGTCGAAGCTACATTAGAAAATAAACGGTATAGATAGTTTGACGGTTTGGGATTTGACCTATACAGGTGAGCCTGTCCGGCCTGCAATTGTTTATTGCAGTTTTTCACTAACAATTTGAAGTTCAAGAAGAAAACGTTATATACGTTTTTGTCATATTATTTCCCGTAGAATCGGTTGCCGCAATAAGTTTTTAAAAATATTAACTTTTTTGGTAATTTGTATAAATAATTTTTTATAAACAATTGCAAATGGCAAAAGGAAAAACACGAGTACTTTTTTTTCACTTATGCTATGAATGGCATAGTTAGTTTGGCGCTGTCTCATGTTGTTTTGGCATGGGCTTTAGTGGGTTAAGTAAAGTTTTTATCAAATCTGACAAATTTTTACTAAAATTAATTTTTAGCTACTTAATAAAGCAACTAGCATTTAGCACATGTAGCAAGCTTATTTTGGTAAATAAAATAAAGAAATAACTCAAAACGATGAAGAATACATATTGAGTTTATTGATAAAAGAATTAGTACCATATTAAGACATAACGGTTAATCCTTATGTAAACCTTTATTACTTATTTACCATATTAATAATAACTTATAAATAAAACAAATTATATTTATTTATATTAGTGATATGTGTTACGAGCGAATCAAGTTCAATTTTGCTTGAGGAGGATATGTTTGTAGCGCGGGATATTATAACACAGGCCGACAAAATTTGAAAAATGTCCGCACTCAGAGACCAGACAAAATATTTCCGAAAGGATTTGATACGCTCAATTCGAATCTGAGTTCAGAATTGCTCCATCATCCTCAGTATTCGAGATTAATTAAATAAGCATATAATTGAATAACAAGAAAACTACAATTTTTACATTACCCGTAAATTTACTCTGTTAAGATAAATAACTTTAATTTGATAAACATAACGAACAATTCAGAACTGTATATATATTAATTTATTAAAAAAATGATTTATTTATTTACGTATATTTAACGCTAATATACAATGCTAATGATATAATAACATGAGTTATGAATAGGTTATTTACATTTAAAATTATTTATTATGATAGAGAAAATTTATAGGTAATGTAGAAATTGTAGTTTTCTCGCTGCTCAATTATGTGCTTATTTAATTAATTGCAATAATAATCACATTGCTTAAGTGATGAAATATTATAAAGTAACTTTAAACTCGATATCGATATAATATTTACGTACATAACCGTTATACTAATAAACAATGTCATTTTTTTGTAAATAAAAAATAACATTCATAAATGACAACAGCAACTAAATAACTATTGAGAGTGGAATAAAAGTATGTTCATATTTTACTTCCTTGAAATAGCTGTATCAAATTAAAAAAAAACGTTTAAATTGATTAATTAGAAGCGAGAAAAAGTCAATATAAAGAACGCGTAGTAATTTTGAACGCGCCAATTCACTTTTTCGTTGTTGTGCCGACTTCCCCCACCACTGCGTCTCTAACGCCGGAGAGCGGATTTCGCATGCGTTCGCTTTGTCTTTTTCATGTAATTGTACAATAACTGTATGTGTGATGTATTTTTTATTAAAAGATATATAAAGTATTCGATTAAACGAATACGAAGGTACTTTTTTTCTCGCGAATTCGCTTTATAACCGACTACAGCTATTAGACTTTGGCATTTAATAACTCTATATAAAATAATTAAAACTCAACATTCAAGGCATAAAAAGTTACTTTATCCCAAGTACTTCACAATACACTATTTAGATTTTAATTTGAGCAATCGATCGCGGAAATATTCTATTTGTTATTTACGTAAAAATGGGAGTTTTCGTTTAAAAAATCGTACGAGTTAGTTAATATTAAAAAAGTGTCGATTAAACGACGAAATATGGTAGCTTAAACTTTGAAGTATACGTAAAAAAATTGCGGCAGGTGTCAATGGCTTATTTCCAGGCAGTGTTAAAGTAAAAAAAGTTCTAAAATTTGGACTTTTTTAATGGACTAATGCAATAACTCGGTAACTAAAAAGAATATCGAATGGATTTTGTTGTTGTTATATTTATAAAAGATTAAAATTTTTTAAAAGGAAATCATCATGAAGATCCATTGATATTGTCAACAGCAATTCCGGATACAAAAATTAGCTATGTTTTAGCGTTTTCTTTTTTTTTATTTTGCGTCTATAACCGAGGCAAATGAAATTTAACAACTTTGTACCATGGCATTTTATTGACAATTGCACGCTCTACAACATTGTTTCTATACATTTTTCTCGTTTTTTGCATGGTTTACGAGTTAAATAAAATGTGTCGAAAAAAAACCACTTTTGGCACTTTTTTCTTTTAACCATTTATTGTGAAAAACGCATCCGGAAATTCGAGGTGCAAACTTTGGTACGGTACTACAATATTTCTGAGCAATTCTACGAATAAAATTTCTTTCTAAACTCACATCCATTATTAACTACAATTCTATTGCAAAACTGAGGGTGATGGGGTAATTCTGAGCTCGGATTCAGATTCAGTGGATCAAATTGCTTCGGTTACACCAGGTCCAATCTGCCGATGTAAAAACATGTTGGTCTGTGTAATCTAGGCAGCGCTTTTAGCTATAAAGAAATATATAATTACGATGGCTCCACCAAGACGGGCCGTATCACATTGGGGCATCGTTGGAGGTTTTATAAAATTTACATCTTTCCATCTAAAACATTTATTAAACATAGTTTTATCTTTGGCTAATAAAAATAGTTCTATCGTTCAAAAATAAACTGATTCATATCATATCGTTCAAAAATAAACTGATTTATACTAATAACAGTAGAAAAATAACGAAAAAAATTTTTTAATGCCGTTATATTTTCACGATTTCGTCTCCAATAGATCTGATAATTTATCATGTTTTTCTTCAATATCTTTTTTATTAGTTCAATTAGTTCGATAACTAGTACTTTGCTTACCATTCGTCGATATTAATTGTTAAATACAAAACGAATTACATTGATACTCACCGATTTAGCAATCATTTCAAATCTCACAACGTAAAAGATTTTTAGGTTTGTAGTTATATAGATTGTGGACCGCGCATCACGTTAGTTTTTCTTTTTTACTTTTCAAATAATATAACGAATGTCGCTCGTTAAAAGTAGAGCCTAAGCGCTTCCATCGCGTGGGGCAA